CTTCTTCATGAATATTTTTGCTTTGCAGAGGACATAGACAGGGAAAATTCATTAACACATGAATCTTAGTGGGTTAAAAAAAGTAGATTTAGTGGGAAGGGTGTACATGGACAATTCCTTGAGTACACAACATAAAGATATTCTGACTACGAAACCATATCATAAATTAAGTGCATGGAAATAATCAAGTTACCTGGTTGCTATGGGTAGTGAAGCGAGATGTATTGTGAATTGTAGTAAGCTATGTTAACAGACTTAAGGAGGACAGAAAGAAACTATTAGTAAAAATCGATATAGTATTATCTTTCTTGAGAAAACAAAGGTGTTTTACTTTTATCTGGTTTCAGATACTGCAATACCTGCACGGAACAGCTATCTTTTTGGTGTGTATGTTTGACATGTCTAAATAATCAAGCGCTGTCTCTGCATCTGCTGTAAGATACACAAGGTTTTCTTCACCATTTTCAGATGCTCCAAGATAAGGTCCTGGCCACTTTTTTCAATGATCCAATTATCAGCATACAGAGAAATTCTTTGAAGATGGCTGGCCCTTTCTCCACTGCCACCTGTGAACCACAAGTGAACTGGCTTTGGAAATCTCCCATTCACTGGATAGCAGTATACAACCTGCAACTGGCATTACTTAATGGGTAAAAAAAAAATTTCAAGGTAATATTAAATTTTGTGCTTGCAGAAGATATAGAGCAGATTTTTACAACAATATTAATGCAGGCATAGGTACTAGTGCCCTTCTCACAAGCTTGCTGTTAAAAAAGTTCAAGAAAGAAATATGGGCACAGAACCTCTAGTTACTACAAATGACATAAGGTGCAGTTTTGTAAACCAATGGCACAGTAGTTTATCCAGCAAGTCTGTACTTTGTAGTCAGTTTATAGCCATTGCACATATACTTCAAATCTGATGATCTTAAGAAGAGGGCATCAGTTCAATTATTATTGGTTACTTAGTTTACCAAATTATGTGATCTTTCAAATACACAGGTTAGTCAGTCGCCTCAGATAAACTACTCAGGTGTAGGATCCCTGAAAGAAAACTGACTGGGTCCAGTGCCATCTAGATCATCAATCACTTTATTTGGTCGCATAAGGTCCACAAACTTGAGGTCTGGCAGCATATGAGAAAATTAATACTTGTACTTCAATAGGCTTTCTCGTGCTCTTTTCCTAGAACTATGCTCAACACAGAAAATCTGTAAAACTCCATAAAATTGCACTGGGTAGTAACAAAGTTAAGTTATTATATCAATCATACTAGTTCAAAATAGTGTGGTATGCAGAATTAGCACACTGTCATCAGATTAAACGATGCAACGATGACATTGATGCTTTTGGTGAAAAAAAATATTTGGCACCTGGCATGAAGAGCATTTGATAGTAACAAGTTCACCTAGAGAAAATGTAGCCTTTCTCGGAATGCATCGGCCATGCGCATTGGATAATTGCAAATGCGTCCGTCAAGTTAGCATCGTCCATTTTGCTGGCACAGGCCTGGTACCGTGCTGCCACCGGTACCCACGTGTCAACTGTCAAGGGACAAGGTAGTGGATCCGACGATGCGAGCAAGACATCGACATGGCCAAGGATGCTTGCCATGTTGTTCTAGGGCCGAGGACGTTTGGGCCTAGAGTTGGTTCAGTGAGCAGCTTACCTTGGGGAATTTCAACAAACAGCTGCGCTGCATCGTCCATGTCCGGCTGCTGGAGCACTGCCCCGTGCACTCTGTGGCGTGTGAGGTCGCACAGGCACGGGGAAGCTACGAAGCGCCGGTGGTGTTGGTGGTTGACTACTTTGTCACACTTGACATGCTTGGTGGTACGTTGGTGGCCCCGCGCTGCTCGGCCCGCTGGACCACCTGCTCGCACCGCGTCTCCCGGCACCGTGTTGGCGGGCCTCATGCGACGGCGTGGTGGCTAGTGCCTCCTCTTACTCGCACCTCTGCAGCTCCACGTTGGCGTGCCGACGCTCTTTCTCCGCCGCCTTCTGTTCCGCCATCGCCAGTCGATACGTCTTTGTCGTCAGTGGTGCCCGCGCAGAGGAACCCAACTTTGGGCGACAGTGTGTCGAGTTGAGGAACCAGGCAGCGGCCGCGGCACGGGGATGGGAGTCCGTGCGGACGCGGTCGATGGTTGTCGCGGCAGCCGGCAGGCAGACCGAGCGCGGCAAGTGTCGAAACTCGCAATCGCCATAGGCGAAGGGCGGAGCGTTGCAGGAGGACAGAGCAGGTTCACGAGGAGGGCGCGGAAGGCACGAGAGGGTTCGCGATTCGCGAGCGCCCGGGTTCGCAGCTTAACAGGCGAGTGATCGCTGGATCGAACGGTCCATATCGAGTGATGGCTGGATCGAACGGTCAGCGGGTTAACGGACGACGTGGCCCTATCGGGTGCTCGCGGTTTGGCTCAGGATTAGTATATAGAGATAGAGAGTCTTTTGGGATGAGATTTAAGCTAAGAGCAATGTCTATATAACATTTTTGGTTTTGAGATCTATAAAACTTTGGCTGCAATCTGTCAAAAAATTTCTCGCGAGAAAATTTGTTTACCATGTTGCAGCACATGTACATTTTGCTATCCATATGTGACTGTTTCGTATATATAAATAAAGGGAAAATTGAATAGAGTACCATCAACCCTTGGTTCGGCAATTCGCATTCACCAACTTCTTGGATTATTAAACCAGTTAAGCGCGTATCCAATGAAACTTTTCGACATTGTTGAATAACCTCTGAATCCATTTTATAGGATTGTATTGCCCATGTCACCACGTGGCAGGATGCATGATTTTTTGAGAGAGAGCTTTCAGTCTTGGGTCAATCCTACATCACGATTCAGGAACGTGCCAAACTGACCAACTCCCCTTGTCAATTGGCACTTTTATTAGAGCCATATTGGAGGCATCATATATAATTAGAAATCTTGGTGGCGAGATCGTAGAATTACCTCTTGCGAAAGTAGAGTGTTCACAGAATTGTGTTTTTCCTCTAATCACATTTTTTATGACTTGTCATATTTGTCTATCATTAGTCGTGGTATACTTATGGCTAGAAACTAAACAACTCAGCATGTTCATTAGAGTTGCACGACACCGTTCGTTGAATTATACTACAGACATAGGTACTCATATAATTGCGTGCACAATTCACCGCTATGAATTTACACACGCACCAATGCACCATACTTCTATGAGTACATCTAAAATACTAAGCTTGCTGATTTTGAAATTAATAAAGTCACTGCCGGCGTGTTGTTGAGGTCGATAGACATATCACATACCATCGAAAGAATAGTACTGTTAAATTATAAAATAAACCCAGTAAAATGCCATCCATACAAAATAAAGCTAACCAGCGGAGTTATGCTCTATATTTGCAACAAAAACAATAGAGAGTATTTCAAAAATACAAATATAACACAACTACTTTGTGGCACATATTTTTCATATGATTAGACTAGCTAATGATTAGTTAAAAGTTATGAAGTTTAAATTTTGAAATACATGCACGCTTTATATTTTGAAACAGGAGTAGCATGGTAAGGCACTTTGTGTGCTAATCATTTCGATAATACTGGCACATGGGCGTCCGTCCTGGCGTCTTCTGTCCGGACGGCTCGTCTTCGGGCCTACCCAATGATCAACCAACCGGTCTCCTCCGCTCCACCTTTAGTATGACGCGGTTTCTCCAAAAAATAAAATAAAAAACACAGCGACATTCGCTGGCCATCTCCAACGCGGTGGCCTTCTCTAGCCGCAGCCTTCCCATTCGGCCGCCGCGCGCCCACTCCGCCTCGCCGTTGCCGCGCGCCCATCCCGCGCCGCTTGCTCCTGCCCGTCGCGCTTGCCCATCCTGCGTCGTCGGGCGCGCGTCGCCCGCCGGTCGAGCGAAGCCCGGTGCTACTAGCGATGGTGGTGGTGATGCTCGCGTGGCGCCGTCTCTGACCCCGACGGCTGGAATCGCCCGGCCCCGGGCTCCCCATGTTGAAAGCGCATGTTTCAAGTGTTTCAGATGTTTCGTAGGTATGTTTCAAGTGCTTCATGCAGATGTTGCAAAAGTAGATCGAAATGCTGCATATATTGTAATGATTGTACACGTATGTTGCAAGTGTCTGTTTCCAATGTTTCATCTATTTTTTTAGACTTATGTTGCAAGTGTGTTTATCTAGATGTTGCATATGTTTTACACATATGTTGCAAGTGTTTTATCTGGATGTTGTATATGTTTGCAATTGTTTTTCAAGTGTTTTCACGTGTTTTTGCATATGTTCAGGCACATGTTTCGAATGTTTCGTCTATTTCGTATGTATGCTGCAATTGTTTCATTTGAATGTTTCAAAACTAGATCGGGGATGTTGTGCATGTGGTTGGCAGCTGCTGGGTGCCGTGCATGGAGGGGAGCGGTGCAACAGGTGTAGAGGGCGCGGGAAGTAGGGAAGTATGGGGGAGTGGTGCGGGCAGGCCCCTGTGCGTGCATCAAGCGCTAGCACGGGCGTTGCAGCAGGCGCGAAGGTCCGACACGGGTCCGTCCGGATGTCCGGACGCTGCCGTAATCATTTAGGTTCAAGTCTCTTGCTGAGCATGGATCCTTGTATTTTCAGCTGATTATTGGAGTACAGGCAACAACATACAGCAAAAGCTGCGTGACGGGAGAGAAGACACGATATGTAAAACTTTGCATCTTTTTTTTTTGTCACGACTGACAGACAGAAGAATACCCTACCACCACGGCGACGCCATGCCTTGCCTAACTCGCACAGACAACATACTAGCATCACCATCTGCTAACATTTGTTGGGCCACCACTAATCCACCATTAAACTAAAATCCCAAACAACTCTAATCATTATCCCTCACAACTGATTGATCCAAAATTTACAAAAGAAATGCAAGCACCTATTTTAATCAACCTCACGTTTACACAAAGAACTAAAAGCTACCAACATGTCAACATGTAGAGTGGCACACTACCTAGTAAAGTACTACTACTATTCACAAGCTATGTACATGCGCGACGTTCGCGTTGCCTGGAACAGCCGGCCGGCGTACACGTTCACTGCGCGTTCCCGGCGGCGGCGAGCCACCACCGGCTAGCGGCGGCCGCGCACTGGCCACGGTGCACGCGCTTCCAATCCAGCGCCTGGCACGCACGCGAGCAGTAGATGGCGGACCCGCACGCGGAGCACCGCCGGAACTCGTGCCGCCGCGTCTCCCGCCGCCCGCACCGCGGGTGTGCGAGCACAGGCGCACGTCGGCGTCGGCGTCGCTGCCGTCGCCTTCTCCTCCTCCTGTCTTGGCGTCATCCAGCGCCCACCACTCCACCATGAACCTACTGGCAGCGTCTTCTTCTTCTTCGCCGTTTCGTCGGCGGTGCGGCGAGGAGGAGACGAGCTCGCGCGCGGCGGCATGGAGCAGGAAGTGGCGTCCGGCCGCGGCGTCGCGGCGCGCGCCGTAGCCGTCCTGGAGGCAGTGGCCGAGCTCGCGGAGCGCCGGGACGTGGCCGAGCCATGCGGCGCGCGCGCACAGCGCCACCCCGCGCGCGGGTCCTTGTCCGCCTTGTCGCCGCCGCTGCCGTTGAACTGCACCACGGCGAGCGCGTACAGCGCCGCCCCGTGCCCGCCTGCCGCCGCGCGCCGCCAGTAGCGCCGCTCCCGTCGCCCTGCTCCCGATGCAGTAGAACCTCACCTGGCATCATCATCAACAGCCGCGACAAGGACACCACGACTCAGGAAACGAAGGAATGAGTGGGTTCGTTCAAGAAGCAGGAGAGAGCAGAGGTCTTCCGTTACCATGCCGAGGAAGTAGCAGGCGTGGAGGTTGCCGGCGGCTGCGCACCGCCGCAAGAACCGGTGCGCCGCATCCGACCACCTCCCCGCAGGCACGGCGACGGCCGCCGCCGACGCACGCGACAGCACGGCGGGGTGCGCCGCAAGGTCCCGGAACCTCCTGCACCTGCATACACAGCTGAAGACTCAGCACAGGGACGAGGCAAAGGCGACGGCGGGCAGAATCAGCAACGGACGGAGGAACGGAGCAGAGACAAGCTATGGTAGCTACTCACGGTAGCGCCGCCGCAGCGAGGTCGGCGGGGCACCCGGCGCGCACCGCGAGCCCGGCTAACACGGCCAGCACGAGGTCGTCGGGGAGGCAGTCAAACGCGTCGACGACGACGCAACGGTGGCCGGACACGACGACCTTCTGCTTCGCCGGTAGCGTGGCCGCCTTACTATTACCGCCGCCGCAGCTGCCGTGCTTGCTGAGGCTCCTCGTCGTCGGCTTCCTCATGGCGGCTGGCCGCCAGGGCGGGACACCCTGTGCGGCGCGGTGCGGAGAGAGAGAGAGAGAGAGAGAGAGGGACCGGTAGATGCGCGGGAGGATTTTGTATGTATATATACGCGCGGACGTGAGGCGTGCACGTGGCAGGGGTACGGCGGCGGCGTTTTGACCGCTGCAGCCGGGGGCGGCCGTTCGCCAACGAGTGGTGCGCGCGGCTCGTCGATGGCTGCACACACCGTTCCTTACGATCCGGGCCATGCGTCTGTTTGTTCGTCGCGATCTCCAACGTGCTTCCGCTGACGCGAAGTACCTAGCCGCAGATAAGCTCGAGGCTTGTCAACCGCGCAGCCCGACTTTGGGCTCTCAACCCACATCTGAAAAATAGGTTCAGAGCACCAGCTTCATGCAGCTCAACCATAAAAGAGTTTCATCGTGGATCTGAACTCCTACCAGTAGGGCTCCAACTCTAATATAAATTTGTTTATAAATACAAAAATGAACTAGGAACTAAAACAAAAAAGTCAGTCATACCAATCTGTTTGGGAGGGCTCCAGCATCTCCAATACGAATTCATTTGTAAATATAAAAAATCAGCTAGGGGCTAAAATGATAAAAAAAAAGGTCAGGCACAACTGTGTCTTTGTCTTGCACAACCACGAGCTCGGGTGGGGCGCAGGACGCCTCGTCGCGGTGGGGTTGGGGGTGGGGCTCGCACGGCTAGGGCTCAGATGGGGACAGGGTGCACCAGCCGCGATCCAGTCGGAGCTCACGGCGGTGGCCGCTACGAGAGCTGGAGCTTGTGGTGGTGGTAGGGCTAGGCAGGTGCGCGCAATAGGGCTAGTCAGGCGTACGACGGAGCCGAAGAGGCGCGCCGGCGAGGCTAGGAGAGGTACACGCGGCGACCAAGACGATGGGAATGATCCTCGAAAAAAAGAAAAAGAACCAGTATATTGGATCGTGTAACCTGTGGCAGTGGCGTGTAATTTTCTTAATTCCACCAAACTTGAGTCTTCATAACACCCTCTGAGGTGCTCCACTAAATCCATAAATCTGAGGATAGAACCATGGATTTTGTGGAGCTGTTGTACGGTGGATCTGTGTGGAGCTGGAAGCGTTTGGATTGAAAAAGTGGGAGTGGAGCTATTTTTGCAGATCTGGAGCTGCTAGAGTTCTCCCAAACATATCCTAATTAGTTGTCACATGAGGCATTTTGGTGGCATAGTAATTTATGAAACTAGAAGCATATCTTGTGCATTATTGTGGGAATTGCGAATGATCTGTAACCAAATTATAGATAGACTACATATAATTACTTGTATGAAGAGATAAATTAAATTATCATTTTTTTAATGTTTAGTGGAGATGGCATGCTGATGTGGACAAGTAAATGCATGTTAGCGAGTGATTGGTCTCACTGAAGCATATATCATAATTGTATGTGCTAGTAGAATGTAACTACATCCAATAGTGGGCTACTGAGGTAGACACGCTACTGGAGAACGGACTTTAGAACGATATCCCAATTTGACATTAGTCTCGGCATTTTTTGCCCCCGGGACTAAAGATTCCTTTAGTCCCGGTTGATATTACCAACCGGAACTAAAGGTTGGAGGACTTTTAGTCCCGGTTGGTGGTTCCAACCGGGAGTAAAGGAACCTTTAGTCCCGGTTGATATTACCAACCGGGACTAAAGGTAGACCCTTTAGTCCCAGTTAGTAACACCAACCCGGACTAAAGGACCCTTTAGTCCCGGTTGGTAACACCAACCGGGACTAAAGGTCCCCCGATGGGTTAGTTCAAAAGGAAAGCATCCCATCCATTGTTAGATGTGTTGTGTAGGTGGGGTGGTAAGCTCGCGCGAGGCAGTGCATGAGGTCTTGGATTCAAATCTCATAGGGCGCAGCGGTGGGAGGCATTATTTTTTTTAAGCTGGGAGGATCTTTAGTCCCGGTTGTGGCAAACCGGGACTAAAGAACACCACCTTTAGTCTCGGAACGCTAGTCTCGGTTGGAAAACCGGGACTAAAACCAGTTCCCAACCGGGACTAGATGTCAGTTGTGTAGTAGTGACAGCTTGCATGTGGAGATTGAACCTCTGGTTGGGGTTTAAGATTATAAGATACTAGAAGAACACCCGCACGTCACTGTGGGACTCTCTTAGAAATAAAATTGTTGACTAGGTAAGCTAATGAAAGAATCAAATAAAACGTTTATAGAATATTAGATTGAATTGTAGGAGAATGTGATGGCCAAACAAATGTACAACTTGGATGCCTCGTATATTAATAGACTAAAAATAGTAATTGCATTTAGTGGAAGATGGTGTAGCACTTATTAACTAGGTATGACATGTGGATAGCTTGCATGTAGAGATTGAAATATAGTGGGGTTTGTTTTTATGAGATATAGATATAGATATAGATACAGATATAGATACAATACATATAAAGATATAGATATAGATATAGATAGATATAGATATAGATATAGATATAGATATAGATATATATATAGATAAAAAATAGAAATTATATCATTACTGATAAGGACATGAAACATTCAGATATGACCATTGATTATAGGCAAAATTGGCCACATGACATCGGAAATGACCTCTCTTTGCCGTAGGACACGAAAAAAGTGGAATTTGCTTACAAACACTTTGCTTCCTATCAAATTTGCTAGGGACACTGTGCTCAATAAAATATTCATTTTTGGCTCTTGAAGATAGAGAAGAGTCCACTCCCTTCACCTGGATGGCCTCCTACCCCAGTTGGATTTGGTGGGTATTGATTCATATTTTTCTGAACAAGAGATATGTGCAACAATCAAAGAGCTCCCCCGGACCGCGCTCCCAGACCGGATGGATTCACTGGGCTTTTCTATAAGGTCGCATGGGGCATCATCAAGGACAACATCGTCAACGCTTTCAATTCCTTGTGGCTGGACACCCGAAGCTTTCATCTGCTCAATGACGCCCTCATGATCATGCTGCGCAAGAAACAATCACCGGCAACCATGAAGGATTACAGGCTAATCAGCCTGATGCACAGTTTCAGTTAGCTTTTCACCAAATGTCTGGCACGGTGGTTGGTTCCCAAGCTCAAGCTGATTGTGGCACCTAACCAGAGCGCCTTCATCAAAGACCGATCTATCCACCACAATTTTTGTTCAATACAACTGGCATGTCGGTGGCTGCACAGTAAGCGCTTTGCGTCAGTTCTGTTAAAGATCGATATTGCAAAGGCCTTTGATTCGGTGGTTTGGCCTTTCCTCCTAGAGATCCTACAGTTCATTGGATTCCCAAGACGGTGGACTGACTGGATCGCGATCCTGCTCTCAACCGCTAGCACGAAGGTGCTGCTGAACGGCCGCCTGAGGCGAAGAATCATTCATGCCCGTGGCTTAAGGCAGGGTGATCCAATTTCACCTATCCTCTTTGTCATAGTCATGGAGGCGCTGAACTCCCTAATTAGGGAAGCCGACCGCCGTAACACCCTAACGCCGCTTCCTGGTCGCGCAATTACACACCGAACTTCCCTATACGCTGATGACTTGGTGCTCCTCCTCGTCCCTCGCAGCGAGGACCTTCATTGCCTCCTGCAGATGCTGCAGTTGTTTGCTGGGGCGTCCGGTCTGGTGACCAACGTTGATAAGTGCATCACCACTACCATTTGGTGCACTGAGGAAATGGTCACGACGGTGCAGCAGGTGTTCCCCTGTGTGATCATCTCGTTCCTGTGCAAGTATCTTGGAATCCCGTTGTCCTTATCGAGGCTAACAAGGGCGGAGGAGCAGCCGCTCGTCGACGTGATCGCGGCAAGGATCCCAACTTGGAAATCGGGATTGCTCGCTAACGCCGGGCGCGTCTTACTCACTAAGGTCACGCTTTCTGCCATCCCGGTCCATCTCAGCATCGCCTGTTGCCTCTCCCAATGGGTGATCAACCAGATTGATAAACGACGCCGTGCTTTCATTTGGGCGGGCGCTAAAACCACCACTGGGGGTAAGTGCAAGATCGCCTAGACTATGGTGTGCAGACCAACGTGCCTTGACGGCCTCGGTATCTTGGACCTACGCTACTTCAGCTTCGCCTTGAGGTTGCGTTCGGAATGGCTTGGGAGAACTGACCCAACGCGTTGTTGGGGATCATTGCCGTGTTGCGTCGAGAAGCCGGTTGCAGCCATGTGCGCGGTCAGTATGTCTGTCCAAGTTGGTGATGGCGTGACAACCAAACTATGGACAGATTCCTGGGCTTTGGTTGGCCCCCTCTGCCGCTTCGCGCCCGGAGCTGTTTGCTGCACTCTCGAGAGCAGGGAAAACCATATCCCTGAAGGACGGACTACACCTCAACCGCTGGGCGAGGGAGATCGTCAGAGCCTTAACAGCGTTGGTGCTATACCAATAGTTGTTGGTCTGGGACCTGCTGCGGAACATGGTTTTGAATCCATTGCAATCCGATCAATTTGTTTGGAAGTGGTCGCCGGATGGAAAGTACTCGGCGTCATCGGCATACAAGGTGTTCTTCCATGGGTCCACGAACCTCCCTGGCGCCAAGGAACTATGGCGAACCAAGGTGCCGCTGAGGGTTAAGTTCTTCTTTTGGTTGGCTCTTCATCGCCGTCTGTGGACAGCGGACAGGCGAAAGAGGCACGGACTGCAGGATGACGACGGCTGCGCACTATGCGGCCAAGAGCCGGAGACCGTTGTGCTATAAATGATAGGCAATATAAATAACGAAGAACAGTAGATCAAACACAGGAGACATGAGATTTTAATGTGGAAAACCCTTCTAAGGTGGAAGGAAAAAAACCACGGGCACCAGCCAGTAAATCTTCACTATATCGGGTGAGGTTACAAACGTCGGAGATTTACAACTTAGGGATACCCTAACCTAGGGGCCTTCCCGTATACAAGTCTATGATGCCTCTTTTCATGAGGGAGGTGGTCCGTATATATAGGGAGGAAAAAACCCCACACCCTCGTCTATAAGCAATACGGAACTAATAG